TTTGCAAGTGGTGAGGTTTGTCTCGACCACTGTGCATTTGGGTAGTTTAAGAATTGGTCCGTCTCAAGTCAAGTTGTGACGTTGAGTAAACCGGATTAAACAGATCTTGTAAGATTGTTTAAGTGATTCTTAATAAAGCAAGTTAACTTGTCTTGGATTCGTTTGAGTTTCTCTTTTGTGGTATCCATACAAACTTTCAGATGGTAAGTTAGTTAATAACTATAATTTTTCTAACTGTTGGAATCTTTAGTTAATACATACCTCCAATAACTTTACTGATCCAAAACAAAATATAAACGACTGGTTCAGTCCAACCATTGCACCCCAGTAGGTGGTCACTCATGGCCCATCTTTTGACAAAATAAATAAATACACCAAAATAAAAAGAGAAATTGCATTCCATATACAAAAATATTTGCTACATTTGCTGAAATGAAATTTCTACTATTACTCTTTTTTTTTTTTTTTTTTTTGTCGACGCCCATCTTCTAAGATCAAGTGGTATGCGGGTCTAAGTCGTCTCGGAGAGACGTCCTGTCCAGCTGGGTCTGATCTATATGGGAAAAAAGAGTGCCACTACATCTCGCCTCCTTTGCGAGAGAATCTGCCCGCAAATTACTAGTCCTGGGAATGTGGGCGATGCTGAAGTCCGAAAAACCCTCCTTGAGCAGTCGAAACGAAACTAGTTCAGAGGCAAAGGCCGGCCAGTCGGTGGGATTATCTATCATGTTTACTAGGTCGGAGCAGTCCGTCTCCATATGTATCGTGGTGCAAAGTAACTCTAGTAGACAAGACATCGCCCATATAAGACCTTCCATCTCTGCGTGTAGGGCTGATATACTTTTTCGACATCCTTGTAACCCAAATCTTTCGACTCACATTGGATCCTTGTAAGACCACCCTAGTCCACTGACCATGCCATCATCGATCCATGATGCATCGATTTGGCAGGTCAGGCGTTGGGGATCCACAGGGAGAGTCGAGGTAAGTGACATGGCAGCGTGTGTCTCATCTTCTTCTTCGTTATCGGGTAGATTTGCTTTTCTCCAGCACTCGGCTTCAACAGAAGCTATCTGAAGAGTGTCGAGGGGTGGAAACCTCTTTTCCGTTGTAAAATTTGTCGTTACGTGCCTTCCAAATGTACCATAGGATCCATGGGAAGGTCTCAATAAGTGGGTCCAAATAGGCCACGTTTTTCTTCTCCCAAAAGAGGAAGTTCATGTTTTGAAAAATAGATGTACTCGGGAAGAAATCCGGAAGGGACGGGTAGTCCGATAAAGCCCACACCTGAAGGGCGGGGGGACATTCAAAAAGGAGATGGGTAATGGTTTCCTCAGAGTCACCGCATCTAGGACAGCTCCTATCGGTGCCCAGGTGTCTGTAAGCAAGCCTCTCAGTTGTTGCAATACAACCTGTCAAAGCTTGCCACATAAAATGTTTCATCTTCCCCGGCGCGGGGATACTCCACACATGGTTTTGTAAACTCGTGATACTTGGTTGCACAACTTGAGTTTCAGAAGCAGTAAATTTAGTCGTCTGCAGCTGGTTATATCCTGATTTGACCGAATAAACGCCTGACTTTGTATAGTTCCATGCGTACCCATCCATAGACCATGTATTGCTTGGTCGCAATTTGAGGATAAGCGGAATATCCTCTGGACGGAAGTACTCCAGTAAAAGATTAGTATCCCAATCCCTTGTGTCACGCCTAATGAAGGAATGGACAAAGAGTTTTGGGTGTCTATAGGTTACACGACCCGACGGTCGCGGGGGACGAGCATGCGTATCTGGGATCCAAGGTTCCGTCCAAACACGTGTGTTTAGACCTGCTCCAATAGTCTTCCGTAAACCCGACTTTAAGAGTGGTTTTGCGGCCATAATACTATGCCAACCATAGGAAGGTGAGTAAACCTTACGATCTTCCAAAGGGCTTGATCGATTATAGTAGTGTCCCCTCAAAACTCGAGCGAGGAGAGAATTTGGAAACTGTATCAATCTCCAAAGTTGTCTTGCTAATAGAGCAATGTTAAAATCATGTAGATCTAGAAAACCGAGTCCTCCCTGGTCATGCGAGACACAAATCTTGTCCCAAGCAATCCAATGTAAGCCTCGGTTATTTTGGCTCGAGCTCCACCAAAATTTCGAAATAGCACTTTTTAGTTTTTCAATGATGCCTTGTGGAAGCAAGTAACACGACATATGATATGTCGGAACTGCTTGCGCCACTGATTTTATTTGGACCTCTTTACCTCCTTTCGATAGTAATTTAGCCGACCACGAAGTGACGCATCCATTGAGGCGATCTTGTACATAAGAAAACACTCTCATCTTCGAACCGCAAATTTGCTCTGGAAGTCCGAGATATTTGCCCATCCCACCTTCATTGGTAATTCCAAGGACATTTTTAATATCTTGCTTTACGCTCTGGTTCACCTTATTTCCAAAAAAGATGAAAGATTTTGACGTATTAAGTCTTTGCCCTGATGCCTTTCCATAGGATTCTAGAATGTCTAAAATTTCTTTACACTGTCTCACTTCTGCTTTGCAAAAAAAAAGGCTATCATCCGCAAAAAGAAGATGAGAGATTCGGGGACTGGCCCTATAACTATGTATCTATTTAATCATAAGTTTTGTCCCTATAACTATGTATCTATTTAATCATAAGTTTTGTCAAAATACACCAATATATGTGTGTAAATTTCTCTCTCTCTTTATATTTCTACAAAAATATATCACAATTGGCAAAAATTAAGTTGTATATACGTCTTTCTTTTCACTGGAAAATCTTTAAGAACCAGTTCTGAGAATTTTGTCAACTTTACTCCAAAGAACAGTTCGTCGGATTCGTTTGCTCTGTTTCGCAGATCAGAGATCAAATTTTCCTTATACAAAATTCATAATAATTTTCTCTTTATTTTATGTCATTTATTTAAATATTATGTATTAATTTAATTTCTTTTAGATTCTAATTTTACTTACAAAAATGAAATAATTATATCAATTTGTAATTTACATATTGATTATGTTATAATTTAGTCAATTTTAAAAATATTACTAAATTTACCCGTATCTAATATAATATCATGTATTTGTCAACTTTACTCGAAGGAACAGCTTGTCGAATTCGTTTGCTCTGTTTCGTAGATCAGAAATCGAATCTTCCTTATACAAAATTCGAATAATTTTCTTGTTTTGTTTTATGTCATGTATTTAATTATTATGTATTAGTTTCATTTATTTTTAGATTTCAAATTTACTTACAACAATAAAAATAATTATATCAACTTGTAATTTACATACTTATTATAATAAAAAAATCTATAATTTACTAAAATTTTAAAATATTACTAAATTTGGCCGTGTCTAATCTAATATTATGTACTTAAAAAAATTAATATAATATATTAAACTAAATTATAATTTTGGAATATAAATGTACATACTTGGAAAATATAATTTTGGAAATATATGATTAGAGTTATATCCATATCCCCTATATATTAATTGAGGAACATTTGAAAAGATGTAACCTCAATTTTGTATTAATTAAAAGAGGTCCCAATGCATAGGTGTCATTCAATTAGGTAGTCAATTAGATTCAATTGAAAAATAAGTAAGTCCACATTGGATTTTTATAGGTTGCTAGATACATTAATTAGTCAAACTATATGATATAATGATATGATATGATATGCTATTTTCTTTCCATAAATAAAACCTACGGAATTACCATAAATGACTAATATATATATATATGACACTTAATGATTGTTCCTTAATATATAATTACTATTTTATTTTATTTCCATAAATAAAACCTACGGAATTACCATAAATGACTAATATATATATATGAAACTTAATGATTCTAATAATAAATATTTGATAACAGTTTATATATCCTCCATCATTTTTCTTTAATTTTATATTATTAAAATAAATTAAACAATCAAATTAGCTATAAAATTAAACTTTAGTTTTTTCGTATAGGTTATATTTTGAATTTTAAGAAACGAGAATAAATAACTAAACTATTAAAATTATTATGTTAAAAATTAATGATCAATAGTTTAACATTTTATTATAAAAGGATATACATGATTTTAAAACCATATAAGTAAAAAGTATTATTCAATAATAAAACAAATATACATATATATATATATACAGATTAAACTATATACCATATAAGATTACATAAATATTTTAATTTCAAAATTTTCAATAAATTTTCAAGAACATTTATAAATTATAAACTTATTAAATTTTTCACATTGAAA